TCCGGCCTTCTTCAGGTGGCTAGAATGCAGAACTGAACCCTTTGTGGCCTACAAACTAAAGGAATCAGCACATATGCTAGCCCACAAAAATCTCCTGAGCCGGCCAAGCATGGAAATGAATACAATATTACAGTAATAAGGATTTAGCAGAGAAGAGCGACGGTAACAACGAAAATTGTAATATGAGCTCTGATAAAAACATGCAATGAGAACAGCAAAAATTCCCATATGAGCACTGATAAAAAATGATTGCTGAAGGCATTAGGTTTATAATACCCAGAAATTCGCACATAGATGTAATCAAGGACACATGGTACAGTGGATAAATGCGTTACTTAGTTCCAGTGACAAGACCCAAAGAGTGTGAGTTCAATACCTGCTTAACGCAGTGGAAAACTTGGAGAGGTGAATTAACAGGAGATAACTGATAACTGACATCCATTAGACATGGCATGTGGAACTAGAACAGTCTAACCAAGTGAGCGAAATAAATGGTTCAGTTCGACATGCCAACCAACTGACGAAGGCCGGAGCGTACAATTCCCGAAACGTTGTGATAAATATAGTACAAAGTTGAAGACAATAGTCCGAATAATGTAAATAGGGTAAACATGCGGAGAAAACTCTTTTGGTAGACAACACGCAGCAAAATGTTAGGATTTATTATCAGATATATTGATATTTGGGATTTAAACTATCGTAGCCAATTGGTCTTCGTAACCTACAGTTTTATTAAGAATTACTTTCCAATTTATGTTGATTCGATTCTTCCGAGAGACTTATTTTTCGTTTTTTTTTTTGTATCCCTGCTGTTTAATAGCGGCCTATGAATAAGAGTTTGAGACGTTACAACAAAAAGTAACTGAGTGACAATGTTATTCATTCGAAAGTCCGATGCGAATTAAAAAGGTTTGGTAAAATTCCTGTGGTTGGAAATGGGTCCCGCACGTCCATTTTCGTAATAGGCTTCGATAACTTTAACACGTTTTTTGATTGTTAAATTTTCCATGGATGAAATTGCCAAAGACTTAAAAGATTTAAAATCGGTCCAACTTAATGGAATACCTTTAAAGCAACACAACGCCAAGGTACTCTTTTCTTTTTCAACCTCCGACCAGAGCAGCAACAAGTTAATTTTTGTTGTTGTCTCTGCTTAGTCGCTCCTTGATTTCATCAATATGCCTTATTGTCTCATCCTTCAGTTGTGGAATTGTTATTGGCTTGTTGGCATAGAACTTACTTTTGAGATGACCCCAAAGAAGAAATCTAAAGTTGCACGATCATGGTGGCCAATTGACTTCGCTTTTTTTGAGAGATGATGCGACCTGGGAACTTCTCATTACATTTCTGTTTGAACGTCCATTTTTCCCATAATAGGCTTCGATAACTTTAACACGTTGTTTGATTGTTAATCTTTCCTTGGTTGAAATTGCTTTGTTAAATCTAAAAAAAAAAATCATTAGACGCTTAAACTTAATTCACATTTGAAATCGATCCAAGTTATTGGAACACCCTATATTAGTTGAAACCAAATTTATTCAACCTTATCAAGACAATTCTAACTAGAAGACCAATCAGAATCTATTATCAGTGGACATAATCCTAACAACTTTAGATGACAATATTTCTAGCCCGGGTTAATCTTACATATTTATAGACCTTACTTTTGAGATGACCCCAAAGGAAGAAATCTAAAGGCGTCAAGTCGCACGATCGTAGTGGCCAATTGACTTCTCTGTTTCGAGAGATGATGCGACCTGGGAACTTCTCATTCTATTTCTGTTTGAACGTCCATTTTCGTAATAGGCATGGATGAAATTGCCAAAACTTAAGTTGTTAAATCTGAAAGAAAAGAAAAAAAAAATGATTAAACGCTTAAACTTAATTCACATTTAAAATCTTCCGCACGACATGTCGACTTTTGCGAGTCATTGCTTACACAACAACTCCAAGTAACTTTTTTTTTAGACAGGCTTTTTAGTGGTGAGGAGAAATGAATTTTTTACACGTTAAGCGCCGTCGTCAGTGGATCAGTCAAGGAAACAAACCTGCTCAGCAACTGAGACGAGAACTGCTTCTAAAGAATGTCGTGTTGAATCTATGACGGCAAATTCAAAAAAATCTTTCTTTATGAACTGTTAAACAAACAACGCTGATGTCTATTGCCAATAACTTCATAGTTTGAAAGCAGATTTGGACAGAAAAAAACATCCTTAGTAAACAGAAAGAGAATAATCGTCCATCACGATAATGTCCATCCTCACACTGTACGAATATTTAAATCTCGATTGGGGAAGATTACTTCATCCTCCATATTCTCCAAAAATGTCTGCGTGTCACATTTTTTCAACTTTACTCCCAGAGGCCGTAGCCTAACATATCATGTCATTTTGGAGTCATTACTGGTCGCTTCCGAACCCGCAATCATGAAATTTTGAAGTTTCATTATTGTGATTGTTTTCGGATTCCGCCATATTGGCTCCTACTGATAAAAACATTTAAAGGGATACGACTCCTTATCTTTCAATAGCTTATGTTCAATTGAAAGATTTACTGTTCTCAAATAATGTTCTCAATGTTTTCAAAATAAAAATGTCCGTGTTTTTTTAATATTACTCGTAGTGTTCGTAAGCCAACGTAATATACCATTTCGGAATCAGGCCGACTCTGTGAGCCAATTAAAAACATTCTGTGCCGAATCCGGACACACAACCCGAAAACTTTTTACGTGAGTTTTTTTCGATGTTATATGATACAATTTTTATAACTTGCGAATAAATTTCGGAATAAGCAAAATTAATTGCGAAATACAGCGAAAGTCACCCATAAAATAAAAATAATTGTTTGTACAGAAAGTAAGGACCTACGTCCAGCAAATTGTTTATAAATTAAGTGGCGACAGAAGAATTATCGTTGAACTTTTAAAAGGTAAGTTTAAATATTAATGCAATACTTAAATGCAGCGATGAATTTTGAGTTCATCGGTAGTTTATTGTTGCTTATCGCTTCTACTCCTCCCTACCTATTGTGATGATGGCAGAATCAAGATCTCCCCGCTGGAGGTAGCATAAATGCCGCCCGATTGGGCGGATTTTAAGCTAGTTTGTCTTATATGCGAAAAATCAGACAAAAATCTCGTTCCAACTTGACAATTACCGCTATTTTTTTCCTAATATTCACCCAATACAAGGCCCAAGAGCCAGTTAAGGTAGAGGGTCACTGTGTAGAGTTATATTAGCTTGAGAAAAACAAGCGTTAGGGGTATAGAACTGAAGCAGACTTTAGTATGAACCAGACGCCCAATTCTAAATAGGAAACAAAGGATAACCTATACTCCGGGGAAGGGTATAAACCGGACGATAGCCGAACCTATCTACTGTTAAAATTCGAGCTCTTTTGGAAGAAGAATCTCGTGTTAATGCGCAGTCTGCCACAGGCAGAGAAAACGAAAAGTTGGTGACATATTATTTTGTCCTAACTAGTATCCCCATCGTAGCTGCAGTTACGATGTTTCAACTGTACATTATAAAAAATATGTGAACCAACGATGATGAAATACTTATTATTTACCATTTTATAAAGTTCGAACCGGTTGACAAATGAGAAATAATAAATATTTATAAAGTGGAATTGATAAATATCGCAGTGTATTTGGACCACATACTTTTTAAAGTTTTATAGATAAACATTGGCGAGTGAATATCGGTATCCCATAAGATCTGAATTTATATATATAAAAAATAAACATATGAAGAGGGTTTTTTAAAGTATTAAAATGTACCTAAACAACGTAAATCATAAACGATAGGTACATCCACGGACTTTCTTTTTTTATTATATTTTTTTACTGATATTCACCGAATACAGGGCCCAAAAGCCACTTAAGGTAGAGGGTTACTGTGTGGAGTTATATTACCTTAAGAAAGAGCAAGCATTAGGAATATAGAGCTGAAGCAGACTTTAGAAGGAACCGGAAACCCAAGTCTAAATAGGAAACAAAGGATAAACCTATATTCCTGTTCGTAATACCGGGGAAGGGTATAAGCTGGACGATGGGCGAATTTATCTACTGTTAAATTCGAGCTCTTCGGAAAGAAGTATCTCGTGTTAGTGCGCAGTCTGCCGCAGGCGGAGATAACGAAAAGTTGGTGATATATTATTTTCTTCTAACTAGTATCCCCATTGTAATTTCAATTACGACGTTTCAACTGGAACACCCTTCAATCTCTTTTAAGTGTATTCAATATTGGGTAACCTAGAAATTTGGAAATGAACAATTTAATCAATCCACTGGGGTAGGCAGCTCTTATTCATTAACTCGTGTTGGAGGGATGATCTCGGATTAGTTAATTTGTCCTCGTGGTGCCGATTCTGTATTTACTATTGGAGGCAATTGCGACTCAGGTTGAGGAATGGAGTTCAAATTCCAGTCGAGGTCATTACACTCACTCACGTGCTAATGCCCTTGGGAAAGGTATAAATTCATGTTTCCACGCAACTATGGGTAATTAGCAAGATATCAACAGTAAGTTACAACTTGCAGCTGCTTCTTAAAAATCGATCAGTAGTCACAACCGCTTCAGCCATTGTACTCTTCGATTCTCCTGAACGGTTCGGCGTCTCGTCCAGGCAGTGAAAGTTGCTCCGAACGTCGTCTAAAGTGTTCCGAAAACAGAGAAGTCGTGCTGTCTCCCAGTCTTGTGTTCGTCGAACTGTTGTACTAAGAGTTCCGTATTTTTTGTCGCGACTCGAAGTGGTGGTGGTGGGGGGTGGCGTTCTTCAAGACGATATGCGAAATGGATTTGTTTTGGAAGTTACATTATTCAAGCCTTTGTCAAGACCTGTAAGGTTGTTGGATTTCTCAAGGCTGGTTTTCTTTTTCCTAGACTGGATATAGATAGATAGGAACTCTTAGTACAATGGTTCGACAAACACAAGACTGGGACACGGCACGATGCTGCGGACTTCTCTGTTTTCGGAAAACGTTATCGACGACGACGATGTCTGGAGCAACGTGTATGACTTTCACAGCCTGACCGAGACGCCGAACCGTTCAGTAGAATTGAAGAGTACAATGGCTGAAGCAGTTGGGACTACTGATCGCTGTTTAAGAAGCAGCTGCAAGTTGTAACTTACGGTTGATAATAAACACAATCGAAAGAAAGGGTATCAAGTGATCGGAAAGGCCACGGTGACTTTCGAAGCAAGATTCTTATTTAACGCACAAGACTTCGCAACTTGACCTTTCCGTTTTGAAAGCCGATACTTGCTCACCGCTGCCGACCAGGTTTCCCAATTTCTCAGATTTGACAATCTTATGACAAGTTAACCAAGAAGCAAATCTGACTTCCCAATTGAAGATGTCCATCGGTTGGAAGGCGTATTGTTTCCCTAGAGTTCATTCAATTGCCGACTCCTTTATTCTACAGACTTCATTGTCAGGTTCCTGTTGCTTTACTATGAATTAACCTTTTTCTCGGCAGCCGCATTAAATTGATGTCCATATTTCCTTTCTATCGAGAGTTCAAATTAAATATCATTGGCAGCATTTTGCAATATCAGATTTTGACACGCTATTGTTGTTCGTCAATATGGACGGCCGTGCACTGTTGGAGTGGACATTGTTTGCCGCTGTATGCTACTGGTGCTGAGTGGAAAGAAAAGGCGGGAAATCCAATGGCGATGCCGGAGGCGAGCGAGGCAAACTCTTCGGAGCCGAAGGGAAACATGCAGATGAATACGGCAGCGTTATTCATATATGTAATCCACGTACACACACACATACACACGCACACACACACAGCCACACACTACCACACACAGACACAAACACACAGACGAACATCTATCTATCTATCTATCTATCTATCTATCTATCTATCTATCTATCTACAGGCGGCTCATAATCTATCTATCTGTCTATCTATTTATCTATTTATATATCTATCTATCTATCTATCTATCTCATTCTGTTCGTATCTATATATTTATCGAAGTCTGTTCATATCTATCTATCTATCTATCTATCTATCATAGGCGGCTCATAATCTGTCTATCAGTCAATCTATTTATCTATATATGTATCTACCTCATTCTGTTCATATCTATCTATTTATCTCTCAGTCTGTTCATATCTATCTATCTATCTATCTATCTATCTATCTATCTATCTCAGTTCATTATCTATCTATCTATCTATCTAATTCTGTTCATTATCTATCTATCTATCTATCTATCTATCTATCTATCTATCTATCTATCTCACCCTGTTCATTATCTATCTATCTATCTATCTATCTATCTATCTATCTATCTATCTATCTATCTCACCCTGTTCATTATCTATCTATCTATCTATCTATCTATCTATCTATCTATCTATCTATCTCAGCGTTCATTAGCTACTTATCTATCTCACTATGCTCATTGTCAAATTATCCCACCTTTTCCAATATGTTTTCTATATATAGAACTCTATTTTTCAATTTGATAAAAACTAATCCGTTCCACACAAATATACATACGTACACACATATATACCGTATGCACACTCGCAAATATAAATATATGAGCACACACGCAGAATCAAACACTTACGAACGTAGATACGCACAGACACACACATACACAAAGACCGTTCATACTCGCGTACAGTGCGAAATTTATAAACTGTGTTACGCTAAAAAGGGGCGGCACACTATACACAGGTAACTTTTTGGAAGAGGTTAAAAGGCAGGCATGAACGTAAACAAAGGTAAAATATTTATATCTTTGTATCAAATATTTTACGGGAAGTGTTATTTTTTATCACCATTTTGAGGTAGCATTGTACAAAAAAGAATGAAGACCATTTATTTGCTATAAAATATGTCAAAGATGATGCCTAGTACTATAATCTTTGACTATAGTAGGCCGACTAGTAATACTCAGAAAGGGGGGCGGTCTCATTATACACGAGCTATATGAAAAAAATCAGGTTCTTCACAAAAAAAATCAGTAGCGCATTATACATCAAGTCGCCTTATACACGAATATATACGGCGTACATCTAAATCACAACTGTGAATAAAAATTGTACAAAGTTCTTTTTTTTCGAGTACTATTTAAACCATTATCAAGAACTGGCTGTTCTTAGTATAGCAGACAAAAGATTTTGTAAGATCCTGAGATTTTTATCTTTTCAAATATACGTATATCATAAATTATGTCACAGACCTTCGCAAAAGAAGGCATCAAATATACGTAAAATATTTCAACAAACGTATCTACACATATTCTTCTTCTTCTTCTTCTTCTTCTTCTTATTATTATTATTATTATTATTATTATTATTCCCTTTGATTTCTGCTGTATACACATTTCTTTCCGGGTCCCAACTAGAAATGTCTTCATGGTATTTTCCCCTGATCATTTTTGTAAAAAAAAGATCCCACACATTTTACACAGCTCATCGTAATGTGAGAATCATTTTCCTATTTCTTTAAGGAATGGGTTACCTGGAATCCCTTCAGTCACTCGATCAGGACCTTTTCCATTCAAGTGCTCCAACTAATACTGTAATCACAAATTTAATACGTCTGTCGCCACAAAAAAGAGGTTAAAATTTATTAAGAGTTAATACAACCATTAACATCAGAAAACAATTTTTTTCTTAAATTAGAGTGTTAAAAAAAAACAGATTAAAAAAAAATATATTTAAAAAATCAAAAAATATTTTGATCTTTCATCTTAATAATAACATGAGGATTTTGACGATAAAATTATGTTTTCATTACATTTGGAGCATGTTTTTATCACGATATGCTGATTCTATAGCATTTTCGTGAAGATACATATATTTGCTCGTCGAAGACGTGAATGTATAATTATTGTTAATGAGTATTTATTTTATTTTTAATAATGTGTTCGAGGAAGCAATTATTTTTAGCTCGATTAATTATTTTTTACAACAAATTTTTAAAATATTGATGAGGAATGTCCTCCTAGATATTAAAAAATTCATTTCACTTTTGTAATTGAAAATACACGAATTTAAATTCTTTGTATTTTTCATGCAGTGAAATAGTAACATCGCGACAGTTGGTGGAATTTGAAAAAAAAAAAAAAACCTAATCAGGGAGTCCTTATCGGTTAAGTTTAACACCATAAATCAAGCCCTACCCACATTTCTCACCCACAAGAGACAGACATGCTTGCAGAGGTGTTGAGGTTTCACACTTATACACACACTCACAAATATATACACTTACACACATAACAAACACACACGCTCCCAAAGAACTAAAAGATAAAATACACTTAACACAAACACCCCTACTCCTAGCAACCAATAAAACTGTCAAAAGGACCAAGAAGGGAATTCTGCGACTCATGAATCTCTCCAGCCTCTTTTTAAAAACAACTTAAAAGGGGCCATTTGACCAACACAAGGACCGATCAAAATTGATGATAAATAAATAAAATAAAAACCACAGATAAAGTTCATTTTCTTCATAAAGAGTCATTCACTCCTGTAGTTCACTAACAAGGAGACTTTTTTTTTTATTCTCCTAAAAATTTTCTTCTCCTGATGATGGCCATGCAGGCCGAAACTAGTCGCGGAACCTAATTGAAATAATAAAACCAAAAATATTAATACATAACCCAGTGTATCTGAAAATTTTAATTTTTTTAATATTTTTTATTGTTCAAAACATATATATATATATATATATATATATATAATTTTTTGTTTAAAAATATGATTCCTTCGCTACATAAGAGTTCTCATGTTTCAAAAACGAGAGCCGAAACCATCCAAATAATTATTAAAATTAAGTTGAAGTGAGGTGTTTAGTCCCGTTTCATCTTCAAGCGAAATTTTAGGAATAAGCTATCTCTTGGTTTACGTGTGCTTTTAGGCATGGTCCGTTATAACATTCGTTATTGTGGGAGTGGCTAGACTAGTTTTCTTCTTTAAGTGGTCAGAGAGTTAATTCTTATCTATAGATTCATCATCTTCTGAGAGGTTTTGCACTGGTTAGGTAAGGTGTCTATTTCAAGGCTACTGTTGGCGGTCATCCTCTAGTTAATTCCCAGTGAGGGATATTTTTATGGCGCGCCTACAAGTCTTTATGTGTCGGGAGGATTGTGTTTTATTATTGTCCATCAGATTATCTATTTATTTATTTGTTTATTCAAGTGGGTGTTTTATATACAAACTGTATTGCACTGAATTTCAATTTTTGTTTTTTGACGACTACAGAAAGGGTTTTCCTATTTAATGATTTGGCTAAGCTTTTAAGACTTTTATTAAACTGTGGGATTATTTTTTTCTTTTTATGCTAATTATTTAATGCGAAAATTTGTTGATGTCGGCAAAAAACCGTTAACTCCTGCCTACGGTTTAATAATTTTTCATTATTTAGAAATTTAATGATGTGCAGTTTTTCGTGTAGGCTTTCGTGTCATCCCAGGTTTTACAAGTTCTTGTTTTATTTACTATTTTCCATTTTACTTTTGGTGTTTTATTCGTTTCTTTTAGATGCCAGAAATATTGGGATACAGATGTCTGATTTCTATTTTGAATATTGTTTATATATATATATATATATATATATATATATATATATATATATATATATATATATTTAGGCATCAATTTTCATTAATGCATGTTTCATTAAATAATATAGACAAGTTTTGTCTATTTATTTTAAGTAAGTTCCTTTCATATTGTCTGATAAACTTAATCACATTATCGTTGAAAGACGAAAGGAAACCACCATATTGATACATGTTTAAATTCAATCTAAGCTTTCGGCTTACATAAGCCATTATCAAAGATGACAATTTCAATAAATCAAACAACACACGGACAAAACAACAATAACAGTCCGCCCTTGTTGCATGAAAATTACAAAATAACGACAAACTTGTTTATACGAGACGCTGAAGCGAAAATCGCGTCGCAGCTCGTGACGTCACACATGATCACGCGAGAGTGAAAAACGCGAAGTATTAAGTATGGGAAGCCGTTGGTATAAACCAATGGCTTCTGTTATAAATTATAGGCATTTAAGGATATTTGTAGAGATTTTATAGCTTATTTTGTTCAGGTTAGGTTTCAACTGTTTTATGTATAAAGCTTCAAGAATTTCTGATTTTTGTTTATTGTTTTCATGTTTAAGTATAGTTGTGTTGTCAACAAGGATTTTCCGGAGTTGAGTACGCGGGTATATATATATATATATATATATATATATATATATGTATGTGTGTGTGTGTGTGTGTGTGTGTGTGTGTGTATAAAGAAATAATGAATTTTTATTTATTAGTACGACAGATTTTATCTCTTAATCGAATCACAGTCCTGCTAGCAGGAGATTAAAGTCGAATAGGTTAATAATAGATTTAATAAGAGTAGTGCCTTTAAGCGCAAATTCTATCAGATATCCTCGAAACATTCATATCTGCTAAATTTAGGATCCTAACGTAAACAAAGCAATTTCTGAAGAAGTAATGTAATTTATTGATTAAGCCGATAGTTTTTATTACTTAAACGTTATAATTATTCGTGGATGCACATATTTGAGTAGACACTCAGTTTCTTTATTAAACAGTATATTTATTTATTTTCGTGTACTGGCCTGAATATTTGAGTAATCTTATGAAAGAATAAATACGCCGTTAGGCAGGATTTGAACATATGCTCCCTAGCAGGAGAAACCGTCATTAGATCGGACGTACTTTAGAGCAACTCGGCTGCGAAGCGTCTCGACGATCGAGTAACAGTCCCGTTACTTTTTGATCGGACCTAATATACAGGGTGCAGCTGGTATTTGAGGACAGATTTTATAAATTAGTAAAAAAACTTACTGAACAAATGATATGATTATATTTGATTACAAACAATTAAAAATGAAATTTAGCCAACTAGTATTTAATTTTATTCAATAAAACCACCACTAGCATCAATAACTGCCTCTACACCAGTTCGAAATCGGCTGTAAGCTCTGATTAATTGGTCCTTTTTTATATCAGACATTACTCGAATTATTGCAGCTTTAAGAGAGTCTTTGGTGTTATGAGGCTGTTTATTAACCTCCTTCTCAACAACGCTCCACACATAATAGTCTAGTGGATTAAGATCTGGAGAGTTAGGAGGCCAAATGTTGCTTCTGGTGTGGTCGTACAAATGATCAGTCATCCATTCTTGTGTTCGTAGAGCTTTGTGGGATGGAGCCGAGTCTTGCTGGAATATGTAAGGCCTGCCGTTGCATATGTTGTCAATCCAGGGCTTGACAACTGTTTCTAGAACATCAATGTAAGCAGCAGCATTTACTCTAAGACCTTGTGGAGAAAGTGTGGTTACATAACATGTCCTTCACTGCTAACAACACACAATACCATAAAACTTGAAGGAAATTTTGTTCGCATCACTCTTGGA